ATAAATCCCTTTTTATATCTATACCTGTATGTATACTATTGACTCTGTTTCCCAGAGAATCCTTTCTTATATACCCTTCATGCAAAAGCACTCAAGACATCTAAGAATCGAGCAAACATCTTTAACTGGATAAAAAGCATGTGTAAAAAAGCAAAAACCTATCACTAACAAATTTAATAGGGAAAAACTAGAAGCTTTCCCAGTAAAATCTGAGACAAAGCATGGGTATTCACTCTCACCACTTCTTTCCAATATTATAACAGCAGTCATAGTTAATCAGTGAAACAAACAAAAGTTGAGAAAGAAGAAAAAGGAAACAAAAAGCACACAGAATGAGAATGAAGGATTAAAACTGTCTTTCTGGGTGTGGTGGCGCATACTTGTAATGCCAGAACTTGGGAGGCTGAGGCAGGAGTTCTGCCATGAGTTCAAAACTAGCTGGGCTACATAATGAGTTCAAAGCCAGCCTGAATTACACAGTGAGACCCTGTCTCATGGAAACAAAGGCAGACAGTCATAAATGGAGGCTACCTGCAAGAATCACCAAAACTCTCCTGGAACTAAAAAACAATGATAAAGCAATATTACAGGGTGCAAGATTAATGAACAAAAATCACCTGATTTTCGATATATCAGCAATGAATAAATGGAAGTTGAAATTAAGAGGATAGTACCATTTAATTACTATTCCAAAAAATAAGATACTTAGGTATAAATCTAACCAAATATATATACAAGGTCAATATGAAGAAAACTAAAAAACTCTAACAAAAAAATCAAAGAAGAACTAAATAGAGAAATACTGCATGTTTTCACTCAACACTGAATATTGAAGAATTCTCAGTTTTGTCAAGATGTCAGATCTTCCCAGTTTAATCTGTAGATTCAACATGATCCAAATCAAAATCTCATCAAATTATTTGTGGACATTAGCGAAGTGTCTGTAAAGTCCATACAGAGAGGAAAAAACCTAAAGCAGCCATATACTATCAAAGAACACTACCTGACTTCAAGACTTACACTATAAAGTACAGTAATCAAGACAATGTGGCCATTGGTGACAGACTAGATAAGTCACTGTGACAGAACAGAGTCCCCCCCTCCCCAAAAAAGCTCACATAACAATAGTCAACTGGGCTGGGGATTTAACTCAGCGGCATAAGCACCTGCCTTGCAAGCACGTGGTCGTGAGTTCGATCCCTGGTACCAATTAAAAAAAAAAAAGCTAACTGACTTGAGAAAAGAGCAAAAGCAATACAGATGAAAGATAATCTTGTCATTAAATGATGCTGGGACAAATGGACATTCACATTTTTTAAAAGCCTGACATATTTTACAGAATTAAAAAAAATCCTGACGGACTTTACATTCTTCACAAATTACTTAAAACAGAAGTAGGTCTAAACATAAACTATATATAATGGAAAACTATAAAATATCTGGAAGATAAAATAGGAAAAAATTTAGATGACATTAGTATGGTGATGATTTTTTATAACACTAAAGCGGTAAGCTATAAAAGAAAGAATTGATAAGATGGACTTCCTTAAAATTAAAACTTCTTTACAAAGAATGCTACCAAGAAAACAAGAAGACACGTTATAGAGTGGAAGAACATTTGGAACAATTACTCAATCTGTACAGTCACCAAATGAAATACCCAATTTAAAAATGGATCAAAAGACCAATCAGACACTGAACCAAAGAATATATATAAATAATCATACAAAAAATGTTCCACATCCCATGTTATCAGAGAAATGTTAAGATTTTCATTATGGGAAAACAACAAGATACCACTACACATCTGAGAATGGCCAATATCCAGAACTGTGATAACCAACTGCTGGCTGGGATGTGAAGCAATAGGAGCTCCCCTTCATTGCTGCTGGGAATGCCAAATGGTACGGTCACTTTATTATTATAAGACAATTTGCCAGCTTCTTATAAAAATCAACACATTCTTACCATATAAGCCAGCAATTAGATCCCTTGGTATTTACCCAAGTGAGCTGAAAACTCATGGACACACAACACTCCATATATAGATGTCTATAGCTGCTTTATTTGTAATTCCCAAAATTTGGAAGCAATTGAGTTGTCCTTCAACAGGTAAATGCATAAAATATAGTAAACAATGGGATATTACTCAATGCTAAAGAAAAATGAGCGGTCAAGCCGTGAGGAGACACTGAGAAGACTGCAATATATATTAACTAAGAGCAAGAGCTCATGTTGAAAAGACTGATGTTATATGATTCCAATTATATGAATTCTAGAGTAAATAGATCAGTGCTTACAAGGGACTCAGGAGGAAGAGATAAACAGGTAAATTAAAGATGATTTTTAGGGAAGTACGACTACTCTATATGATACCTGATGACTAATGTGTCATCGTACTCTTCTCAAAACTGACAGTGTATACAGCACCAAGGCTGAAGCCTTCTGTAAACTATAGACATTGAGTGGTGATGATGTAGGGCCAGATGATGACAGCATCTGGAAGACAGCATAGGAGGTATGAAAGCTCTCTGTAGTCTCTACTCAATTCTGATGTGAACCTAAAACAAAAACCTTTACTTTTTAGTAAAGCCTATTCAAAAGAGAAAAAGAAAATCTCACAGAACAGCGAGAGATAACAAATGGTAGTTGTGGTTTTAAATTACAAAACTTTACAGCAATAGACAGCTAAGAGATTGTCCGTGGAAGAAACTGAGTCTCTGCTAATATTCATTCTTTCTTTCTTCTTTTATAATAGAACCCCTGAGTCTCTGCTAATATTCATTCTTTCTTTCTTCTTTTATAATAGAACCCCTGAGTCTGTGCTGAATAAATGGCTTCCCAGCCAAAGATTACATTTCCTAGCTTCCTCTCAGTAAATATGGCCTCAAAATAGAGTTCTAAAACATGAGCATAAATGGATATAACATAAACAACTTTCAGGTCATGCTCTGCTAAGAAGAGGTCCGTCCTTCCCTTTCCTTCTGCCCTGTATGCTATAGAGAAAGCAAACATAACAGCCACACTATATGAGTTGGAAACACATGCCAAGAACCCCCTGGAACCCCGAAGCCAGGGAGTTATCTAGACAGCGTACCAGCTATGGTGATCTTGGATGCTATGTTTATGCTGCCAAGTTTCTTAGTGATCTGTGCTAAAGATTAAATATAGAATGGAGAGAAAAATCAATCCTGATGATTCACATCCAAATCAACCTTTGTGATCCATAGGTAGTGCTACGGTTTGTGTCTGGATGCCCTCCAAAGCCTCAGGCAGTCATGGAGGTGGCTGAATCTAGTGTTTGTGATTGGTTGGTTGTCTAGCACTGGATTTGGCAGTGTGAGTGCTGCATCACCAGGGGACAGTTATTCAGCAAACAGAATAAGGGAGGGAAAGAAGTGTGCTTTTTCCCCCGCTTTGCCCTATTCTCCCATCGCTTGCAGCCACCTTAACAATTGCCCCCTAGCCACACCACCCTGCCTTGGAGCCAGCTGAGTATGAACTGAAACCTCCAAAAAACTGGAAGATAAATAAATCTTTCCTTCCTTCATTTTGGGTGTTGGATATTTTGTCCTAGCAGTGAGAGAAAAGTCACTGAGACAGGTAGTGTGTTACCCTTTAGGCAGAAGCCTCCCGGCTGTGCTTCCCAAAAACTAGTGCATTTTATTTCATTTAGTTTTGGTGCTGGGGATTGAACCCAGGGTCTCACCAATATTCTAAGAGCCTAAGCACATACTCTATCACTGAGCTATACTGTTATCTCCCACCTCTGCCATTTTAAATGATCACCGATGATGATGATTTTAACACACTCCTCTGTCTTTAAGATAAGGTCTAAGGTCTAAAATCTTCAGTGAAGTACACAATGTCTTTCAATACCTATCACTGCTTTTTGATCTGAGCCCAATTCTTTCTACTCCTCCATCATATTCTGCATTTCAGTCCTTTTGAATGGCTTGTGGTTCCTGAGTCATGCTTGGCTTTCCCTCTCCCCAGTAGCAATGCACAAGCTTACCCACACATTTGCAGACCTGTCTCTGCCCATAGCTTCTCAGTTCCCCTTTGTACTTGGTTAGCTACTCCAAGTAGCTGGGATTAGGTGTAAACCATGATACCTGGCAAACCTAGAGGTCTGTGGCCAGCCTGGGCAACACAGTGAGACCCAACCAAAATAAAAGATGATAATAAAAGACACCTAAGTCTCAAACACCTTTAAACTTACACCATACATCTGAGATATGCCTGAAAAGAGTGATTATGAAAGAGATGTTTAAGTTGAGTTTTAATTCTGAATGCAAACATCCTCCATGACCTTCAGGAGCAATTGAATCAAACCCTTCTATCACAGAAAAGGTTGAAGTGGTAATAGACATGCTCAGCATGCGAAACTCTGGGTCTGATCACACAAAACACACACACACACACACACACACACACACACACACACACACACAGAGGCAACAGCAGAAGCTACTACATAAGGTGAGTCACAGAACCACCTGAGCGACCCACCACTGAGACAAAATTTCACAGACTCGGGTCATTGATTCAAGTAATTCAAGACAAGGAAAGGCAGGTAGGGCTCAAGTCATCCTGGTCCTATGAATCTTCCACCCTTCGGTCATAGCTACTCTTCTCATGACTGAGACACAATAACACTGCAACCCAAAGGCGGAGAGGTTTGTTTTCACTCACAATTACAGTCCATGGTCAGGCAGCTTGGCAAAAGGCTACAGCAAAGGAGAATCACTCTTGTGAAGGCAGCCTGAAGCAGTGCAAGAAGAGAGGAGCCTGGTACACATTGCTCTTCCGAGTCTTAAGTCGTGTGTGACCCCTGTTCCAGCCAGGCTGCACTCCATCCCAACAGCAGGTTTGCTTCAGCACCTTCAACTGCCAAATGGCCAGCCTCTGAACGCACAAAGTTCAACAGGCATAAACTATGGCACTGGCATTCACGCCTCACTTGCTTTTTGATGGGTGAGGAAAGGGTGGCGCCTTACCTCTGGAGACTCTGTAGACTTCATAAAAAGAATAGAAGTGGAAGCCCAGTGATGCAAGCAGGTAAAGAGACAGTTCCCATCGGGGCAGCATGGCACCTTGGCACGACAGTTCCCAATGTCACAGTGAGTTTCTAGCAAGAGAAACAGAAACAAAATATGAGGCAGGACATCAAACAGAACCTCTTTGCTGCAGTTACTTCATCCCCCCAGGGATGCTTTACTACCTAGGACCACATAGACATAACCCCAATCAATCTTCCTCTGCCCTACTGATGTGGAATTCAGGACTAAACCAAATGCAGACATGGTACCCAAGGGACTTTAGAAGACAGCTTTATTATGCTAGCAGGCTGACGGGAATCTCAGTTCCAAATCATCAGCAGTGACTGGAGTTTTCCACTTTTATAAATGTTTCCAAAAGGAAGTACAAAAGGCAGATAACATAATACCCTACAGTTGGTTACAAATGTTTTTGTCATTAATTGCTGGGCAGAATTCACTCCTACAGAAACAGCAACTAAATAAGGTTACTATCGTACAACATAGAGGAAGAATGCATCACTGTCTAAGACCAGGCAGAGGCATCCCTGCAGTGATCACTCTCTGAGACTCAGAAGAAAGACAAATCTTTCTTCCCTGCTAATCGTACAGTTGGCACCTGGAGTGTCAAAGCTCATCAAGTTTGTAGCTTTCTAACTATAGGAACAGGGTGTGTCTCCCTGTCTCATCTTTGAACAGTTAGAAATATGATTAGTATTAGAAATATGTTTTAAATATTTCTCTGCATTAAAATAGCTTCTATACTATAACTCTGTCCCTCCCCCCCCACTCCAACATATGCCCCCCACATACACACACACACACACACACACACACACACACACTCACACACTACTCAAGTAGTTGACTCTTCTCTTCCAAGTGTCCACAGCCTCCTATCATATTACACATCAGCGTTCTCTCTTCCTTTCCATCCCCTCCGCAGAATGGACTATTAGTGAGAGGGACCGTGATTTCCCACTCACTCTCAGCAAGGTAAATTAGAAACCACACTTTTCTCTTTCTCTTGCATAGCCAGGAGGAGGCAGGCTTTGATTGACAGCTGCACTGGGAGTGTCCTAGAGGTCCACAGCAGCTCCAAGCATCTACTGTGTCTGCTGGGGCCATGGAAAGATTGAATGTGCACCAATCAGCAGACTCAAATCTAGACCACTTAGCAGGCTTGAACCTGGGCCAATCACAAATGTGTTGTATTTAAACACTGGTTTGGTCTAGGAGGGTTTCTGCTAGTATTGATTCCCTGTGCTGCAGTACACGCCTTGTCTAAATAAACCCTTGCTCTGGTGGAACTATAAATCTGCTCGTTTATTTATTTATTTACTTTTGGTTGTGTGTGCTTGGAAGATCCTATAAAACTACCTGAGATTATTATCCTGGATAGCGTGGGTAGAGTGAGTCTCTTTAAAAATGAGTTTCATAGCTGACTGTGGTGGCACAGGCCAAAAATCCTAATACACTGGATGGCTGCCAAGTTTGAGCCAGCCTGGGAAATTCAATGACTTGTAAAGTCTCTGTCTCAAATAGAAAAAGGCTGACAATGCAGATCAATGCAAAGGCACTGGGGTTTATCCCCAGTAAAGCAATCAAGACAGACAGACAGACAGAGGGCTATAAAAACTACTGGCTGCTTGCACTTAAGAGTTTCAGAAACCTGTGGCACAAATCCACAAAAATCACCAGAGCTGGAGACTGGGAGCATCTGGCAGTGGCAGTAACCAGTAGAGGCAAGTGGCCCTGACTGGTGTCAGCAGCATCTAGTGACAAGAGGCAGCGACATGTAGTGTTTGATGGGGATCCTTAGATGACCAAAGTGGCTCAGAGCTGTAACCGAGCTGTCACACTAAGCACCTAGGCCAAGAGACAGTTGGAATCCCAGAGCTGCAGCAGTGAGGCCTGGAGCCTCCAGCAGAGCTGTACTTTGCTGATTCATAATTTCTGTCAGCATGGATCAACAAAAGCATCAATAGACAATGCCAGCACCTAGCAGTGTGCCTGGAATGTAGCAAAAAAGGTTATCAAGGTACTCTGTGAGTAACAGATAGCCTCAATAGCATGAAGAAAAACACAGATAACCTCCAAGTTCTTATAACCCCATTCTCTTTAAATACTATCCCACAGATATAAATCATAAGGTACCAATAAAACAGCCCTGCCTTCCACATGTCTATATTTTTTATTTAAAAAGGATAAAAATAATACATAATTTCAAAACAAAATACTAGAAATTAATACTAGTTAATATAGTACAAATTATCTTCAAAGTAGGTGCTCAGATCCACACATGAAAAAGATGATCAAACAATCAAACAACGAAAACACAAACTCTTCCTTTTGAGGAGCAACAGAGATTAGCAGTATAGTTATCTATCTTGTGAATATATATATATATATATATATACATACACATATTGTGTGTATACTATATATACATATAAACCTTTCTCTTTCTTTTCTCCTTTTCCCTATTCCAGTTGTTCTTTCCTTTTGAACACTTTCTTTCCTTTCATTGTCACAATATCTATTTTACATTTTGGATCATGTTTACTCTTTCAGTTTTTTTTACACTAGGGAGACCATACAATGTCTACACAAGCAATTCTGATTTATTTCATTTATGAGTATGGTCTCAAGTTTCATCCATTTACCTATAAAAGCCTGAAGTTTATCCTTCTTTATAGCTAAGTAACACTCAATTGTATAAAAATACTACATCTTTTTTTCCATTCCACAGTTGATAGGGATTTGGGTTGTTTCCAAAATATGGCTGTCACAAATTGTGCTGTTATAAACATACACATACATCTATACTTTCTAAAGGGCAGTTAATGATACAACCCCAGGTAGTTGTGGCAACACTGTTAGTACCCTCTTTCCTAATAGTCTCTGCTCCTATACAGCAAATGAGCTTTTATCACTCACATGGATGGTGAGTTCAACACTACACTCTAGCTGAGTGTGGACCTTTGAATAGTTCTAGCCAAAGGGAAGTGTGTGTAGGGATGTGAGGCTGTAGTCCTCCCTTTCTGGATCAAAGATGGGACAGACACTTTGGACCAAGAAGTGAAAGCCACTTGAAAAACAAGATGGACAGCACCTCAGTCCCTAACTCCATGAACCACCCCCACCAAAAATTACCCTGGACCATGTCTATCTGGACTGCCCATGAAAAGTTGTTTACACCTTCAATAGTCCTGATCTCTGTCATGACAGCCACATCTATGTTCTAAGTAACAGAGAAGTAGGTAATGGAAAGTTGGGTCCTAACATTCTGCAAACTAACTGATCACTAAACAAACTGATCACAAAACTCTAACAGAGTTAACTAAATTCCTTTTATGGATTTTGTTGCATTGCTTAAATACATGCTATTAGGATGCCAAAAAAGAGCAAAATTTTAAGCCCCTGCAAGCATTTCTGATACACCATAGTTTACTGCCCCAGATTCACATGGTACCTCATTTTGTTTTACAACAGCCAGGTAAAGCCAAGGAAGATTCCAGGGAGATTCCAGGCACACTGCTAAGTGCTGCCATTGCAAACCAGTTGAGGGTTCTCTTGCTGCATTCAGGCAGAAACATGAATCAGCGAAGTACAGCTCTGTAGAGGCTCCAGGCCACTACTGGTAGGGAAGGGGCATTTCATAGGTGGTGCAGGTAGAGCAAGGGAGGTAGGCACAGGTGATGAACGTTATGGGGTCACACTACCAGAAACAGCTGAGCCAACAGAAAGACAAATACTCCACAGTATCAAGGAAAAGGAATCTTGTGTATTCAGAAATATATCTACAGGGTTTTAAATGTCCAAGCCCTTAAAGTTTCCCAAAAACTCTTTAAAAATTCCCAAGTTTCTATTTCTTGTTCTCTAAACAAGCATGTTCTTCTTTAGCGCAGATATCATTATGAAATTATTACATTATAGAAGATGTGTTCTCACCACAAATTTTAGCAAACTCAACATATTATTCCTTTTCTTTCCTGATTAAGAATTTTCAAATTTTCAGCGTAAGAAAATATTTTGTGGCTTCTCTTTAGTGTATCTGAATTGCCAAGATCACTATTGCACTTTAGGGCTCCTATTAAGAAAAATAAGGGTCACACAACATAAGCACTGGGGTCCTGTGACAGTCCATCTAATAACTGAGACAGGTGCTGAGTGCTTTCTGGGTGGGAAGCATGTGCGGTGTGGATGTACTGGACCAGGCAAGAGGAGCTCGGCAGTACAGGACTATATCACACTACTCAGCATAGTGCACAGCTTAACTTAGGAATCATTTATTTCTGGAATTTTACATTTAATATTTTCAAAGCATGGCTGAGCACAGGTAAGTATAACCACAAAAAGTAAAACCTGAGACAAGGAGGAACTACTGGGCATGTAACCACTTGAGGGAAGCTTCCCTAAGAAGCCCTTGATGCTGTGCTAGTCTAGAGGCCTCAGTGGGAAGTGAAGCACTAGAACCTGGCCACGTGGATGAGGGGATATAAGCTGTATGTGGCATCAAATGGGTCTAGGAGTCAGGTGGAAGATCACAGGGATCAAAGCTTAATGTTATTGATGAGACTAAAAAACTTAAGGCATTTAATATCACGTATTGGGAAGAACTCACAGCAGAAGTTTCCTTGGGATAATAGGAAAGTCAGACTGAGGATAGAGGAGGATTCTCTGTTTAGGGTGTAAAAGCCTCAAGGTTGGTTATTTCAAAGAATATCTATGTGGAAATCATAGAACTCAAGAGGCCCACAGGGTAAAATTTTAGTCATAAAATGTCAAGAACTCAGCTAACAACTTTTTCTACGCTGTTTACTTTGCACTTTCACACTTCATGTGCTTTTGAAAATGCCATCTCTTAGATCCTCGCAAGACAGCTAACTTTTTAGCTGCTCTTCAGAAATCAGAATCCTGCTTAGGGAGAAGAAAGGATCTGCTGAAGGATACAGGAAATGAACCAAAGATTAGAACCAAAGTCCCCAGCTCCCACTCTCTCACAGGCAGAAATTCTGTTCCTTTATTGTGGGAGAATAGAGGATAGTATAGCACACTGTTCCAAACCTGAAAAGCACAGAAACATAGC